CGATTGTCCTCCTTTCCGTGACCTCAAAAATTAGTACAGTTAATCATCGTTTGTCTGAGAGTCTGCAGTTTTATTCTAGTCATGGCAGAAGCAAGTCTATGTGCATTAAAATGAGCAATCTGACAACGAAAGAAAAAATAATTTATCGAGTGCTACTCGAGAGGAAAAATATATAGCAATACTTATAGAGGGTTTAGTCCTAAATATTTAATACATAAAGTTACCATACTGAAAACATTAGAATTAATTATTTATTTTTAAGCTTATACGCGTTACGTTATTTCATTTTTTCAATAAATATAAATTAAAATATTTTTTGTATTGTGTGCTTTATCAATTATCAATTTTATGCAATATGCAATTACTCAAGATAGTTAGAAACGTTTAGAGACATTACAGACGAAATGTTAGGAAAAATTAAGAAGTTTAGAAACGTTGTCAGAAACATTACAGACAAAATGATAGAAACAATTTTTATGAGTTTTCATAAAAGAATTGAGTTTTGTACAAACTCAGACGGTGCGCACTTTGAAAATACTTATTATTAACCTATTTAAATATTACCGTACTTTTCATCAAAAAATAAATTAATATGTAAGTATATTGCTAAATTTTATTTATATTCATTAAAAATTACTTTTTCTTTTAAAAATAACTCTTATTTTTCTAATAAATCAATACATTCGACAATGGCAATTGATTAGTTGCAACACATTCCCGTGGGACACACTGTTATATTTTTTTAAATATTTATATTAGCTCAATAAATTATTCTATATGACTATAAACTCTTTATTTGAGTTTATTTAATTCGAAAATGAGTTGGTTGAATCATCGATTCGAGTTGCTTCAACTTATTTTCGAGTCAACAAACTTTAATTTAATATTACTCAGAAATTAAAGCCCAATCAAAAATCTAAAAATACTTTTATTATATAATGTCATTGATATCTTTCGATTACAACCAGTCCGAATAACATTGGTGCAGCCAATACCGAGATCTAGAAACCGAGTCCCGAAAAAAGACTGTTTCAAGATTTTTTTCAGTTGTATATGTCTGACACATACATGTAAAGTATTTTGTCCATTAAGCCGCTGTTCACAATGTTTACAGTGAGAGAGAGAGAGAGAGACAGAGAAAGAGAGAGAGAGAGAGAGAGAGAGAGAGAGAGAGAGAGTGTGTGTGTGTGTGTGTGTGTGTGTGTGTGTGAGAGAGAGAGAGAGAGGACGACGACGACGACTTCTTAATTAATGGCTCCTGCCTCCCTCTAAAATATACGGAGGCGATACGACCAGATCATGTCTAAATAGGTTTCTTCTTTGCCTTAAGTAGGTACAATAGCAGGTGATGCAATGCCCGCGAAAATGGCATTGCTCGAACGGACACCGGGCGCCTGCGTCTACGACGTCGTCACATCACAATAATGCGCGTCAAGAGTCCTAGTCGTCAAAACGACGAACAAACGAGATGAGCCCATCCGCGGACACTCATCATTGAGGTTCAATGCTCAAAATCGAAGTCGGCAACACTTTCAAAAATATAAAACAGAATGCACCCGATCCGAAACGCGTCCGTCGCGGTCGAGTGGTTCTTCGGAACTCCGACGACGACGACGGCTATTTATACAGGGTGTATCTGAATTATCGCACTTGGAGTATACTATGAGATACAGGACAAGAATCCAAGTAAAAAAGTCCTGAGTCATTTTTTGATACGAGCTTTCAGTTCGTTGTTATACGATTTATTAAAGTTAGCAAATTAGCGACCGAGTATAGAAGGAAGATAGGGACGGTAGAAAGGCGGAGCGGAGCTGACGATCGCGGCGGGAGAAGAACGGTGAGCAGCGAAATGGTTACAATTATCAATCTCTTTCTTTCTTTCTTTCTCTCTCTCTCTCCCCTCCTCATCTCCATCTCTTTCTCCTCTCTCTCCCTCCCTCCCTCCCTCTCTCTATCCTTGTTTAAAGAAATGTTAAAGATCAGAAAGTGTAAAGCTAAACGAATGATTTGTTGTTTTCGTAATAAATCATCGATTTAGAATCCTTGGCGAAAATAATATATTTATTAAAAGTTTATAAGAACTTTGCTTAAATATTGAGTAGATGTTTCATTCAAGCTTTATAACATCTATTGAATTGTTTATGAGATGGAAATTTAAACATGGAGTTGTTTAAGAGATGTTCACGATTATGTTTGATAGGCGTTTAAAAAGTATTGTGTAATGTTTTCAGAATGTTGCAAATGTTCAGTGGATTGTTTAATTCATACATCCTCTGAACGTTTGTAACACTCCAGAAACATCATCTCACACTTCCTAAACACCTATCAAACATATAATCGTGACATCTCTTAAACTACTCCATGTTTAAATTTCCATCTTATAAACAATTCAATAGATGTTTTAAAGCTCGAATGAAACATCTACTCAACATTTAAGCAAACTTCTTATAAACTTTTAATAAACATATTATTTTCGCCAGGGATCCTAAATCGATAATTTATTACGAAAACAACAAATCATTCATTTAGTTCTGTACTTTCTACTTATACACATTCCGCGTTATACGTTAATATGTTAATACACAATAACCAATATTTATTATAACATTTTTACTCTTTTAAGTATTTATAAATGTTTTAAAATATTGTACTTTTAGTTTAGCATTAATTACATATACTTTCTCATTACTTTTAAATTTAATGTATTATCATAAAATATTAGATATTTATGTATCAACATTTTGTGTTGAATGTATTTAATTTAAGTTAAGCAATAGCATGACATTGTGTCAATGTGGTCTCTAAGAATGCTGATTGATGGCGGTCTCCCTTTTTTTCAGAGTTTTTATATCAAAATGATTGTTTCAACTATAAGTATAACGTATAAATCAATTATAACTCTACTGTCAATCTATACGTTCTATATGTACTACAGATTTTTAGTACTAAGCAGACTATGTGTAAAAAAATTATATGTATGTATATATATATATACGTTTGAATATATTCTACAATATTTTACTTTTCTATTAATTTTCTAATTATATATTTATAATTTTTTCACGCATAGACTGCTGAGTACTAAACATTTATAATATACACCTACTTTCTGAATAAAATTAACTTTTTAAATCTATTTTTGTAAAAGTTACTGTTAGAATAGTGAATCTACGTGTGTTAATGAACATTATAACTAGATTTAGTAACATCCAGATAGAGGGCTATAGATTATCTTTATACTTGATTGTTTCAATCTATACACTACTGTGTGTGTTCTATGTTCTTCTTCCAAACGCTTTCTGTCGCACGTACTATAAGATTTTTGTACAAGTTTTATTTTGTTTTCTATTGAATGTTTGAACCTTGCGAAGAACGATATCTAAAATACACTTGTGCTTGAGTACAGCGCGTTGCTTCTGTATTCCACAACTCTTGATAATCACCTTTGTTTTTCTTCATTACACAGCATTGTCACATTTTATTTTCTAACTTTGAGTCTAGAATAGATTAAGCAATATTTTGATAAATATAACCATTAAGTTTTACATTTACTGATTATTAATCAAGTTATTGTACTTGTGGTGTGTGTGTGTATGTATAAACTATAAATTAAAAAAGAGAGAGAGAGAGAGAGAGAGAGAGAGAGAGAGAGAGAGAGAGAGAGAGATAACAATAAATAAACTCCAGAAATTCAAAGTTAAATGGAAAAACAGCACTAAAATCGGAACAGAAAGCGTAATTAACAATAAACAAATTTTAATTAACTACATAGGGTAATTTGGTTAAGTTAATAATAATTTTGTGGAATTGTATAAACAATTGAGGTCATATATTTAATTAAACATACCAAACTATTGTACTATGAGTGCAATAATGTATGTTTGTATGTTTGATTAAATACACACACACATTATAAGATATCAATTTTTTATACAATCATAATTTAAAAAATTCTAATTATATTTTTAAAATACTTTTATTTTTTTATTTTTATATTGTATTAACATTGTAAACTAGAAATTTATTTTACAAAAAGATCTTATTACTACTCTATTTAGATCGTCTTTTTCTTTATACTTTGCATTGCAAAAAACGAGCGAAATCTATTTATTTAAAATTTCTGTTAACCTATCTAAATTATTCCCTATATTCATATTATAGTGTCGCAAAAATTAGCTACTATGAGTTTAAATCTTTAGTAAGCAAAATTTAATGAACTAAGTACAAAAGAGACCGCAATATATCCGCATATTCTATCCATATACATGAGTCCTACTATGATCCACAGATAAGACAATTTTCTACAATTCAAAAAAAAGATGGTTGCCCACCATCAACCATATAACTGGATAAAAATGGCTGTGTGAATCTCACACCAGGCTATATCAATACACATCACAATCAATAATAAATAAAGTAAAATAAAAAATCATTAAATTCCATCGGTTCTCTTTCAACATATTAACATACAAATAGAAATTAAAGCAATAAAAATGAAAAAAGGGATCAAATTAATTCACTACTAATAACAAATATTTTTATTTGACTATTACTTAACCCCTTCAGATCCTGCGTACAATGCAATGTACATCCAATTTAAAGACATTATATCAATTAAAATTATTTAATTCTATCGACATCTGAGATTTGATGTAGACAATAATGTATATGTTGTGAAAGAATAGCCAAAATTGTGAAAAAGTTAATTGTACAGTATATGAATTACTTATTAAAGTACGCATGAATTTAATTTAAAAGAAAATTTTAACATGTTCCCAATAAAATCAGGTCTAAAGAGATTAAATGTTACAAATGTTGCACTTACAATCTATATGAATAATAATAATAATATTATCATCGCTATATATATATAAACTAAATTTCATATCACCGATTTTTAAAGTATTGTAACACGATTTCTAAATAATTCAGCTAATTTTTGGTATTATACAATTGTAGTGTGTAAAAAATCTTGCAATAATCTTGAAATACCATACAATTTATGCATTTTCGGAAAACAATTTTTCATAATTAGAATGACTTATGGTGTTAAAAATATAGATCACTATTTGAGAGATTTTCTCTTCTATTGGTGCTTTAACAATATTAATAATATCGTTAGTATTACTTTCTACGACATTTTTAATAGCTTCATGTAGTTGAACTAATTCCTTTTCGCTGTCATCAAATGTATATTCCATTCCTGCAATATCAAGATTTGTTTTCACTTTCAAAGCGTATATTTCTTTTTTCTCATTTTTAGTTGCCACTTTTAGATCCAGATTTATTTTCAGTAATACTTTATCTGCAAAAAGTCATACGTTTTTATCATTTTAATGAAGTAAAATTGAATTAAAAATTTTTTTAGCTGAATTTTATTAAAATTTTATGTTATTTTTGCATATAATTGATATAATAAGAGATTAATTTAATTTATTGTGTATTTAAAGAATTATATTCACAATATACAATAATAATAAATAAATACACAAATAGTCAGGCAATGATACTGTTACAACATCTACATCTAGAGCAATACTAAGGAAATATAACAAAGCCGTACACATATAACACAAGATGTACATACATATAAGATTAATGCAAATATGACATAAATGAAATGAATAGCAATATATCGATGAAAATTTAACTACAGCATTTATATATAAGAATAATATTTTACATACTTAATAGTTTTATGGTAACCAGTCCCTTATTAGCAAGAGGCACCAGTATGTGTATGTCGAAATCATACGTAGCATTCACTTTCAATTTCTCAAGTACAGCTTCAAAATCGAAGTGAAGCCTGTTAGAATCTGCGTGAACAAATCTTATAGATAAATCTTCACAAACTCCATGTATTTTTATATCTTTGAGAATTAATTTAAGATTATTTGTGTCATAAATATTTATTTTGTCCATAAATATTGATTGGTTCATCAAAACGTTAATATTGGACGTTTTGCACATTGTATCTAGTACACTGTAAGTATTGTCCATGATACACTGATCGTAATTGGGATCTTTAAGGCCACATGGATGAATGTAGGAAGCTGCAAAATATTTATTTTTTTTAATTTCTAACTTTACATTAGATTAAAATAAAATATTAGTAACAATAATTGCGATTTATCTTAAATTAAACTAAAACAAAATAAATTTGAACAATATTAAATATTAGGTTGATTAATAATTTTACTTGGTTTTTTAAGATGTTTTGTATCTATTTTCAAAAATTTAAAATATTAGGAATTTAATACAAATTTTACAGAATATTTTGTTACGTCTTACTGTCTATGTAAAATTTGAAAATAATTTTCTTACTCTCTTGTTTAAAAATTATTTAGTTTTTTCTATCAATTTTTGTAAAATTATAATTTGATAATAATATTAAGAATTAAATCTTTATATATGTACTAATAAAACAATAATAATTGTGCAAAAATTTACTTAAATACACTTACTCTTGCTTAAAAATTATTGACTTAAAATTTCATGAAAATATGATCCTTTTACTTCATAAAACCATTACAAACTAAATTATTTGTTTTGTTTTTGCAGTTAATTTTACAGACTAATATCGTCAAAACTTTTTGAATGTGATATTGGAAATATTATTTATTTTTAATTATTTGATTAATACTTTTAGCTAATATATCATACAGACAAATCATACTTAAACAAAAATTAAAAAGACGAATTAAAATATTTATATTTTAAAATTTAAACAGTAATGTCGTACAACATATCTTCACAACTTTAATCTTGCCATCTTTCTAATTTCATGATGCAGTTCTTAACCAGCCGTTCAAAGTGTAAACTGGAACAGTTGAAATCATGATAAAAACGTCGAATTTATTCGCGGAAAATCCAGTCACTTACACAATTATCTCCGTACACAGCGAAAAACTTTTTATGGATCCAAGCAGCGTTTTTTCCTTTGTGGAAATATAACAGCTCAACAAAATGTGTTAGCAATAGACACTCTTGTTTTTCATATTCGAAACACAACGTCAAATGTTTAAAACTCAATCTTAGTAATTTTTCTCTTAAACTTTTTACAAAATATTTATTATAAATGTAAATAAACATTTAATAGTTACATTTAGTATTAATCTTGCCACTTCTTGAAAACAGAGGAAGCTTATTAGCCAACCCAATATCTTAAACAAATATATTTTAAAATAAATTCTTTTTATAAAAAAAATATATATATATATACATCTAAAATAAAATAATCTTTACACTAGTCTATCTTAATATATATAAATATTTTTATAATATTGAGAGAGAAAAGGATTTAATATTATTAATACTACATATCTTCTATAAACTATTTAATCAAAATTTATTATCGAGCTAAGATCAAACATAATTGTTGTAAAAAATTTAATATATTTTAAATGCATTATTTTATTCTGTGTGTGTGTGTGTGTGTGTGTGTGTGTGTGTGTGTGTGTGTGTTGCAGAAATAAGTTAATCAATCATTTTTGTCTATTATTCTTTATGCAAATGTATTACATAAGAATATTGAAAAATAAATTCTTTCTAGAAAAAAAAGAATCAAAAATATTGTTTAAAAATATTATTTAAAATTTTTGAAAAATTCGTAAATTATTAATTTGTTATAATTTTGTACAAATTACAAAATTTTAATAAAATATCATAATTTATTTATAAATCTAAACAATTTTGATTTTAAATAAAAATTAATTAAAAACTTGCATTGATTACAGTATTTGTAATTAATGTAAGTTTTTATATACAATATTCTTTGTAGATTATCATATAATATATGAATTGTAATATAATAAGTTATTCCATAGCTTCATAACTATGGAATAACTTGTTATTACAAGGGATAATCTATGAAACTAATGTTATACACGTTATTATGATAAATTTTCAGTGCAAAAATTTGGCGTTTTATTAAAATATGACGTTTAATATAATATAAATACATAACATCTTTAAAGTTACTATGATATCAGGATTATAAGCGATTACATGTTACACTTTTATGAAAAAGGAGAATAGTTTTTGCTTATTCAAAGCTATAATTACGAGTGATTTATGTGATATCAGCTGCTCTATATTAATTTCTACAACTCAGCTAATATTGACTGTCATTGCTCAACTGGTTTTTTATTTTAACTATAATATTACGTAAACTGTCAATTTTATCATAAATTAAAATAAATTAATTATTACAGTTTAAAATAAGATTTACAATTTTATAAGTCATACAATATAATTACTTATAACAAAAAAAAACAGAATAAAGTAAAATATGCATTAAAATTAACAATTAATTTGATATTTGTGAAATTATTATTTCAAACTAAATTAATACCGATGAGAACATGCTGTAACGATCAAGCTAGATCTCGGGTACTTCTATATAATTACGTGTGAATTTATATGTTACATTTGTAGATTCTTAATTACCCGCACGGAGTGCCAGAGATCCGGGTTCGATCGGACGAGGTAATATTTTTCGCAATGAAAAATTAATGATTTACAGATTTAATATATCGATTTACAGAGTTTAATATGTCATTCAACATCATTAAGATCGATCTAAAGATGCGCAAAGAGTATCAAAAATTGTTAAATTGTTAGTCAATTTAACTCGTGATATTACTGCGGTAGTTTAATAGTGTTGCGTTTCAAGTCTGAAGAAAATACACCCAATTAAAAATCTACAAACATAGTATATAAATTCACATGCATAATTATGTAGAAGCTAGATCTAGCTTGACCGTTACGGCATGTTCTCATCGGTATTCATTTGGTTTTAAATTCTCACAGTCCAATAAGATTTGATAATTATTATTTCAGTCTATTACGTCGCAAATGTAATAATCGACAGTTTAAAGAAAACGAATTTGCTTAATTAATTTGTTAGACATATATAAAAAAAAATTTTATTTTTAATTTTTTTATTTTACGTTTCATTATACTAGATTATCGATTCTGCCAACATTTGATTTACCAATCCTTTGTCAGCGAATTTGTTCTCTTGGATTTACAACTCCATCGTCACTGAAATATTATGATTTTCATTTTACATCTGATAAAGGTTCAATCCAGAAGCCGAAACATGTTATGTATTCATTTCAATTCTATTCAATTGTAGTTTAAATTTCATTACATATACATTGATTTATTTATATAGACGATTCTCATTATTGCCCTCTACATTTTCTTATTCTTAGTGTTTTGACATCGAGAACTTTGTTTATCAATATTTATTTTTAAAGAGAGAGTGACAAAAGTGTAATCAGTTTTAAGGAGCATAGATGGAAACAATAGAAAAAGCGTTAAAACGCTTTGTAAATGTTCTACACTTTATTTATTACATTCTATTGTTTCAATGTACGCTCCTTAGAACATTTACTTACACTTTTGTTACTCTTCATTTATAATAAATTCGACTTATGCTCCGATTTGTATTTTCACTAGAGGTAATAAGTAACAAAATATTCGAATGAAAAAAGAATTTAATCTATACTGTTGCCATCGATAAATATCCGATTAGTTTTCAACACACATAAACAGATCTATCCTTAGTTATTAGCTTTTATAAAAATATATAATTATTGCGGTAATAACTTCTTGCTTGATACAAAGTAATACTATTGATAATTAGTACAAGGTCAAAACGAACAAATTTTTTGCTCGTTGAGAAAAATAAATACTCGTGTTACTTTTATTACATTAAATTATTAAAATTTGTAAAAGTTATTTGAAAAATTATGATATAACAGTATCAATTTTATAATTATATAGTATCAAATTTATAATTTAATGTGTTACTTTTAATTAAATTAAGATATACGTGGTATATCCGTACACAACGTGTGTATCACACGACATGTGTGTATCACACGACATGTAATACACAATCTAACAATAATATATTTAAAATTTACATATAATGCAAATCAATATGTGATAAATTATTTACTTACGTATTTCTGCTGTAACGTACGCTGTCACAAACATAAAGGCAAAAAGTACGTTAAACACTTTCCAAACGACAGATATTTCTTTGTGGAGCAGCATCTTCTAGAATATCCTCTTAGATGAGAACAATCGTGATGAATGTACGACGCTAATCAAACTTCTGTATTGTACAGTCACTCATTTTATTATCCCCTCAAATCTCATTCTAACTGCACATGCGTAGAATAAAAATGTTGTTATACATTTTTTTACTTTACTCGTTTCTTTGCTCTGCACATGATCATGCAATATTTAAAAACTAATAGAGAGAGAGAGAGAGAGAGAGAGAGAGAGAGAGAGAGAGAACAATTCAAGAAAAATAATTCTATGAAAACAGCTATTATGTTAATATATTTAAACATTAGCTTCTATTGTAAACTGAATCGAGCATTTTAATTTTAAATGTATTCATTTATCATAAATATTAGGTGCGTTTCGAATTGCGCATGATGCATCATTTGTCATGTTGCTCACCGAATAATAAAAAAGGATGCAATGATACATCATGCGCTTCATGCAAAATTCGGAACACACCTATTATTTAAAAAAATAGACTTTGAAATATTAATATATAATTATTATTAATAATATATATGCGATTATTATAATGAATTTACATGGAAAAATGCAGCTAGTTTTTTATTACACTATCAATTAAAATACAGATGTCTGTTTCAAATATATTTACTATATTTAAAATATTTTTTTAAATAAAATATAACATTTAAAATATTATTTAATATATCTTACATATATTTTTTTAGTTGAAAAGATAATAAAAAAATTTCAAATCAATGCTGTCAATATAAACAAAAACATAAATAGTTTTAGACTGTTTATTTTAATTGTTTTTAGCATTAAGTTCTTCTCAGTAAATATTACAAGTAGTAACCTGTTAACATAATTAATATTCTTACATTAGTATATAACACTATTAATATATATCAACATACAAAACACATAAATTTATTGAGCAATTAAATTTTATTTGTAAATAATATTATGAATGAATTTTGCTTTTCTTTTAATACTTTGTATCAATTTTACGTTAATATCCGAGTTACTGGTTTTTCTAATAAGAAACATCACTTATGCAGATTTTTATTTATGAGATACAAGAAAATTGCGTAAAACCGCAGACGTAACAGGTACGTAGACTGCGCGTTTGCTATCTTAACTAAGTAGCATTTCTGCACCTGTGCTCCGTTAAAAAGAGAACGCAATGTTGAAGTGCATCATAATGCCTTAGTATTTCTCTTCAATTCGTTATGGGTGGGAAGCGCGATGAAGGCTTATATTAGAATATATGTATATATATCCTCTAAAACTGGTATTCGTAAGTTGGTTCTTATATTTAAAATTAAAACCATCTTTTAAGTATAGTCTCAAGATAAGCCAATCACAGAATTATATTAGCGTCTAAAGACATTATTACTTAAGATAATTTAAAGAAAAGAATCGATTAAACTATGAATATCGGCCTGTTCTACCTATATTATGTCTATATCTATAGTATTATTCGTTTTACACATAAACACAAACTGCGCAATCCAAAGAAGTTATTACTATCAGTTTAAAAAGAGAGAGGTAACTTGGTGCGTATGGCTTTAGCTCTTTCCTTAGAATAGAAATGATTTATAATATTAAATCACTTTTTATATCATTTATTCTATTATAACTTAAACTGATATTTATAGTTGGTTCTTATTGTAAGATCGTCTAATACGGCTCTATGATGGGTTTAATATATTTTAAGACTGTACTTATAATAAGACCCGAATATAAGAATCTACTATGAATAGTAGCCATGGGCTGTAGATTGCACATTCTTATGAAGTCATTCATTATCGGTTTAGAAAGAGTGAAGTATTATAATAATAGCTAGTACCGTTCTCTCATTCTCTCTCTCTCTCTCTCTCTCTCTCTCTCTCTCT